GGTGCAATCTCACATCAGCCCACCAGCTTGTTCAGACTAGGCTGGGTTACCCTGCTGGTASCACCCTTGGGGATGACTGGAGTCAACAAAAATATACCTATGGAGGAGGTATCACACACAATTTCACACCAAATCATCTTTGTTTGGCATGTAAGCGAAAMTTTAAAAGGCCCCATTAAATTGATGCCATGTCCTCCAGATGGTCCAGAATGCAGGCAGCCAGGATGTGRTATTTGGAAACAGTCTGTGTTTGCAGAGAACATGGTTTTAAGCCAAGAATGTTTCAGTTGCTGAATGTCTGGAGTTCATTCCTATACTGCCAGGAAATACAGTATCACTCAGAAATGGATTCAACATAAAACAGATTTTTCAACACAACAGAATGTGAGTTCTGAGTCAACGTTTATGACAGAAGGTGGGAAAATCCATCCAAATAAAGATTTTAACAAATTTTGGCTCTTGAGATTTTTTTTTTTTTTTTTGAAACTAGTGCAATGCAAACTAACCCTATTCCATAGGGTTTTATTTAATTTTATTTACCTATTTTTATCATGCCTCACGAGCTGAACCCAGTGTTCTGTTTCATCATTGCTGCTTGTCTGACTCTACATATTATATGAGATATGAGCAGAACTCAGAGCAATAGTCAAATTATTGCAGAAGGTCTCACAAAATGAGAAGTTGCATCAAGATGAAAAAATGTGATTGCTAACTGGATAATTCTGCAACATGAAACTGTACTGTATTGTTTGATGTTTAAACAACCAGAATTTCCTATATTATATGCCATAAATCACTTGTACAAAAAGATGAGGTTAGATTKCAAAATCCATTTGGTATGTATTTCAAAACTGAAATACATTTCAAAATCTCTGTCATGTAGATTCCACAAGCTCATAAAGAACTGTTAATAATCAAAAATGGCACAGAGAAAAATGCAAATACATGAAAGCTTGTACACTTCATCCACATACAGAGTCTGAAGATTCTCCGAAGTATTTTTAATTGATCTGATAGATTCGCTGTAAAACAAGTAGGATAGGACTACATTTAGTTGACTGAAAGTCCACAGCACTCTTTACCCTAAATAAACTGTTACTATGTATTATATAGCACATATATAAAAATATTGCACACCTAGAAACTAATAGCAAATCCCCAACCACTGTACAATGGGAGAGTATAATGTACCACACCTTAAGTCAGTTTCAAAAGGAAAACAGAAGAAAAACAATGCTGTATTAAATAACACTAAAAAAAAACCCTGGCCTGAATCAGGCTGATATAATATTACTAAGAAGCTCCAACATCACTAATTCTTTTCATAATCTGGGAGATTATCATCAGTGTTAATAACACACTGGGTCAATTGGATGATTTGATATATGGGTACGAAAAAAATCCTGGCTTTGGAAGTGAAATAATTTCCTATGGGATAAAAATTACTCTGTAGCTAATTATATTGCTTTACTTTTGAGTTTATAACTGTTTGCATTTACTTTTTCTCATTCTGTATTATACAGAACTTCTGTCCCTCTGCAATTAACTTTTGCAAAAGCTTTGGAGGTAGGAAAAAATGTAACCTTTGCTAGAATGGAAGACGGAATCCACAGAAAAAATGTTAAATGCCAGAATTGGTGATGAGTCATTGGCATTAGCAAAACTTGTTCTGATACAGTTGAGGAGGATGGGCTCAGGAAAAACTCAGGATATTTTTCACTGTGATTTGCAATACATTGGATATTAGTCCCCAGCACTGAGTGACCACTTGATCTTGTATTTCAGAAATGTAAAGTTATGTTCTTGAATTGAGAGTTTCTGTGTATGTTTCAGTGAACTAGTTCATGAAAGTCTTCCAGAAGAGTGATTTAGAATAACTTAATTTGAAATTTATAAACACAATGATCACAGCTGAGAAGTCAAAACAATAGGAATAGTATTTATAAGCACTGCTGCTACAGAAGTACTTCTGTGGAGCAATTAAATGAAATCCGATTGAAAACTTCATCCTATTTCAAAAACTGAAGCACAAATGCTGTTAGCTGATGCTTAGGTCAATGCCAAATCACTTATCCAATGCTGGAAAAAATTCAATAGTACAAAGATAGACRACTAATTATTTTATTTAGATAGCAGAAAGGTTATAGAGATCTTAAGAGGAAGCAACTGTTCTACTTTTGCAACTAAAAAATAGTACTATATCCAAAYAAAGTAAGGTTGCAAACATGATGTTACAGCGTTGTCATATAAAAGGCATTAAATTTCATTAAAAGTATCACAAATTATCATTCATTTAAGAAAATCAGTTCTTTAATCATTAAGGAGAATTTTATTCACGTAAGTTCAGGTATTTTAGTCAAGTACATGAAACAGTAAAATCCCTGATAAGAAATTGKTTTTTTATGAGGTAAATTATTTATTTTAGAATGGCACTGCACATTTTTTAAAATTCAGTATATTTGCTTGAAWACACTGAATCAGCAATGGATCTCACTGCTTAACTATATGCCACTCTTAAAGCCAGCCAATCAGTTTCACTGTTATCAGTACCTTGTAYAATGAAAGTCCACTGCTGATTTACCCACATTGTGAATATACAGATRTTCAGTTCAAAACTTAAGTCTGAGATAAATCTGTATGAGTCTCATTTCTCTGTCATGATTAACATTTCCTCTTATTATATTCAACATATTTTTCCAGATATTCTGTTATATGTAAATACATCTGTATTTTTCTATGCCTGTCTGTGCACTATTATATATGTATTACATAAATGGAGAAAGAATGCACATATTTGTAGAACACTTCTTATTTCCCCTTAAATTCCCCTTAGAAACCAGATTGTTTTCTCTTGCATAAAACACTAGAAACTTAAACCAGAAATATTGCCTCAATGTCACCTGTGAGATAAATTTAGGCATTTTCTCCTACTATAAATTTCCAGATATGTGATACTAGAAGAGTAACACTGTAAATAATTTTTGTTATTATCTTCCTCCATGCTGAATAATCGCAGTAGTTTGAGATTTGTGAGAAMATATACCCAAATAAAAAGATTTGCAGTATAAGAAGGTTTAGTACTTCCAAAATTTTTCTGAAAATATTTTGGTGCTTTTTAGAAATATTCATTTTCTGGAAAAAAAACAGCAAACCAAAAACTCCACTCTGTTTTCTGTTGCACAGAAATTCAGTAACCAGAATGGGAGTGCTGTAAGCCACGTGCCACAAAAAGCATTCCTATCACAGGTCTCTTATCTTTAGCACTGCGGCACTACATGAATTGCAGACTCACTAAGGCTGGAAGGGGCCTCAGGAGCACACTGGAACCAGCCCAAACCCATGCTGAAAGCAAGGCTGAGAGTCTTTTCTTCACACCAGGGGGCTGCTGATACTACATAGACTGCTTCCTTCTCACCTTGCCAGGAGTGTTGATGTCTTCATTCCATTCAYGGATCCGGCCAGGAACACTTCATTTGGGCTTGCTGTGACACAGCACTGCCCCTGGTTATAATTGCTACTGATTTCCTCAGCCAAAAGATTACAAGATCTTAAAAAAAGTACCTTTGGAGGAGGRATTTTCAAATTTGAGGTAAAAAGCTGACCCGATAAAATAGCTGTTGCACTTGTTATTCTACAAATAAATACAGATCAAGAAAACTACTCACAATGTACAAAACTCTGAATGTGAGTATTCTATATACAAACTCACTACTAACTTTGATCAAAAGTACTATGCCCTAAGASGGCAGGAGGTAGCTTTCCTTGTTGGTGGTTAATTTCCTGAATTACTTCCCTTAGTCCTGAATGTTTATGTTAATTTTATTATTATTACTTTAATGCATGTTTTTCTTGGTAAGGTTTATTATATTGTGTATTTGACCAGCATATTACTGTTCCATATACAGTAACACAATTGACATAAAAACATCTCTTCCTCATTGCAGAAACAATATTATAAAAGAATCATTATGCTAAAGTATGTAAGTGCTGTACAGAGGAAACTTGAATCAGTGCTTCCAACAGTACACAGGCATAGACATTCCAATCAATATTCACCAGGTWTCAGATGAAAATTGTCATTCATTTCAAGTAAAAAAAGGATCCCTGAAGAAAATGCAGAGGAGAAAAATGAGCAAAATTTGTGACTTAGAAAAGCACAAGTCTAAACATGGTGCCAAGCAAATGCACTTAATGTCCATTGGAGCAAAGCAAGAAAAGAGCCTGATGAGTTAAAAAGATCCTGTCCGTGCCTTTGAGACCTTTAAGGAGAAGGATAGCACTGAGGACCACACTGTCTGTCTTTTTTTGAAGTTTATGTGAAATGGGTAGATTTATACAAGGGAAGAGAGGAAAMACATAGAAGCTTATAATAGAAAAATAACAAATCTTAAAACATGTAAAAGAATGCCTCAGAAAATAAAAGAACAAAGTAATCTCCAGGTCCACATCCACCAGAAAAGAGAAGATGACTTTACTTTTCATCATCTAAGACCCTTAGTTCATGTTGAAAGGCACTGCCCACCTACATGCAGTGGCTCTACTTTTCCTCACTGAAGAAGCCCCTTTGTTTTCCAGACCAGTTCTCCAACTTGTCAAGCTCAGTCTCAGGTCTGAAAAAATCCCCCAAATGTTCCTTTTGCTAGATAAACGTCAATATAATACTTAACTGGGATAGATTATTCYGATTTAGATGTTTAGACGTTGTGTGATCTTCAACACAATAAGCATTACAAATCACTCTCTGCTGTCACCTAGGCACAGTTAGTCATACCATATAGCAGTGAATTACTGAGTGGGGAAAAAAATRTATTTGGGTTGTATTTTTTCCATCCTCTGCATTATTAAAGTTAAGTACATCAATAGATTTTCTGTGTCATACTTTTATTTTTGCAAGTAACTTTAAATATTTTGTTTATAAAGTAACTGTCTTAATGAAGTAAAAAATGATTTCTGAAACTATTAATAGCTACAGTACTATGTAAGTAAATAGCATAACTTACCTGCTTGGTCTTTAAATATTTTTGATATGACTACAGGCACTTTGTGCTCAGCACCACCCTGTAAGAGAGACATATTAATCATGAGATCTCAAGACTGAAGTGGTCATACTGAAATTTGAAAGAAGAAAAGAGAAGTTACTCTTACCTTTATACTTAAKCCCAAGCCACCAACTGGTTGTCTACGAAGTGTAACAGTTCTGTGCTTTAAAAAATTGTAGAAAAAATAAATTTAGGTAAAAATACAATATCTGAATGAGCATAGATGTCCTAGGCTCCCATTTACTTTAAAAAAAAAATCTCAAACATAGCCTAGAATCTGAGTGATCCAGTTCAGTTACATCATTCTACATTGATTAATAGCCACTTAATTCCTTATCACAGACAGCAGAACTTGTGAGTTGGGTACTCAGACTTTTAGTAYGCTTTTCTATCTCTGAAGTGATATCCCTTGTGAACAGAAGTTGTTTCATACTTTTCATACTTTTTTTCCCTTTTTTTCATACAAGGGAAAACAATATGAAGAGCTCAGAGATGTGCCTTTTCATAGCTATCATGTATGCATGATATTTGTTTTAATTTTTCAGTCAAAAATATCAATGTTTTCTAGTCAAGATCTTCAGATCTGTACGTATTTTTTTCTTTTTGCAGCATATGCTGGAAGACTCAGTGATCGTCTGCTTCAAATGTTTAATTTTTTCATTTCAGATTTAGGTGCATAAAGAAGATAAACATTTATCAATATTTTTCTAGAGAAACCTATCATATGTTTAACAGTATGCTGAATTTGACATTTCAGTAATGTGTAACTCAGGGTCCCTGACAACATAATAATAGCACTTCATCTGTTGAGAATAATTACATAGTTGATGGGAACTTTTTCTGGAACATGSTGAACAGTACTGGATAGAATGCCATCTTTACAGTAATTCCTGAACATATAAGCATTTTTGTGTCTTTTTCTGTACATTAGAAACAGTMTATGAGATTACTCCTATATGCATACTTTCTGTTTGGGTATTTTGCAATTTCACTGATTCAAATAAATACAAATTTTTATTTCAGCAGTCAAAACCATCATCTTACAGTAAAAAGTTATTTTAACATATGTAACTTGTTTTTTTAACACTCGTCATGCTAGACATATGCTCATATTGACTCAGGGGAAAGTGAAACACAATAAATCCTGAAACTCAGTTTCATTTTAGGTGGATAAAAGTAAACCGTATGGTAAAAAAAAAAACAAAAAAAACCCACATTCATTGTTGCACCATTTACAGGACTTTTTTTTTTAATAAATAAATTTATTCCTACTTCTACAGTTGCATCTGGTATTTCCTGGAAGGAGTAATCTCAGTAGTTCTCCTTACTTGTTGAAAGTAACATGTCAAATTAATTACAGACACTACATGGCMGTTTTACAATAGAAAATAAAAGCACAGTTTGCCACCCAAGCCCTTGGGAGACATACAGGGGAAAGGAAAAAACAAAACAAGAAAGGGCAATAAAAAGTCTTAAAAGSGAATCCTTCAACCTGTCCTACATGGATGCAAGGCAAGAAACAGTCTGATACTAGAAGGGGTAAGAAGATAGTTTGTCCTGGTTTCACTTGGGATAATTAGTGTTCTTTGAACTTAACGTGTCAGCCATATGTTCCTTTTCTTAGCAATTCCTGAAGGCACCACAAGGAATTTATGCAATAGGAAAGGACTGAAGAAGATCTTGCAAGCTTGTAAGACCCAGTAAAATGTATCATAAAATGCAGATATTCTGYTGGTTGTCACAAATCCCAAAAGAACAAAAGAGAATGTGGTGAACAAGRATATGTTGACATTCTTAAGGAAATTTTATCCTCAAGATGGAGAATTCCAATGACGAGGATTTTCTCAGCTCAAACTCTCCACCTCTCCAGATCTAAAGCTTCCTCAGCAAATTGYTCAACATGTATTTTGCATTTTGCCAAATAGAGATTTCTACTTCCACTCATATGACCCTCACTTCTCACTGATTGGGCAAAATCCCACCTACCCAGTGGCTGCAGGTTGCAGTAACCTGCTGCCTGACTCTCTTTGTAGAATTATGGATTTAAATGTACAGTAGAGGCTTCTATTTCCAATATTATTTCCAAATGGAATTCAAAAGAAACATCATAGTCAGTAAAGATGGTATGCGCAGCTCTCTAGTAAGAGATGGTGCTGGATTATGATTCAACACTAGGTCTAACAATACAGGCATTTGCACGACGAGGCCAGAACCACACAGCCTTATGCTAATGTGCAAAGATATATAATATATCATAAGTTTACACCAGATGAACTGCAATGCCAACACCCAGGACTGGAACAGAGATTCCTTCCTSCAGTACATGGCAAGTCAGGATCAAAGAATTCTTGAAGCCAGAAAGCACTGAGTTTTGATTGCTTCTTCCTTACTCACTACTGTTACTACTTATGTATGTCTTGAAACCTTTATTAAAAACATGAGTATTCATGAATCTTAAAAAATGAGTGCAGCGTGAGGGAAATGTAAATGTCACACAGGTAGCTGCGGTCTGACTGAATGTGCCATATCCATGCATTTCCACAAGTCCTTAATACTGCCCCCTCAGGGAACTGTAACCACAAGCATCTTATAATTAACCAGGTAAACAATCAACGAATGCATTGAAAAATAATAAAGTAGCTTTTCTGTAAAAGTACACTGGGGTGGGGTGTGAATTAATGAACTTTATTACAAGTAGGATTTGCTATACTGTTGGTTATAATGTCTGGTTTTCAGGAAAAGCTTTTTGCTCATAGGTGTCTGTACAAACTTTAGTTCGAAGTTGGGATCATTTYTAAAAACTTCTGTATTCTTAGAAATAGTTGCATTGTTTAAAGAGACAGTGTAAGTCAGAAAGTGGGAAAAAATATTGAGACAATGTAAAGATAAGTCATGCAAACTTCAAGAAGGAGAAGGAAAGACACAAATCAATCCTCTATGTATCACGGGATGCCTCACTCTCCGCTTCCATGAAGTGAAGGCAAGATGGAATAACGAACAGGTAGACAAAAAGCAAAGGATCAATTTGAATGGAGAATTTTGAAGTTTAACTTCTTACAATGCACAGGATCTCACCTTTCCCCAAAGGGACAGGACAGATATGGTAAAAATTCACTAAGGCATAGTGAATAGCTCAGTTGCTATTCAGCTTTATATGAAGTTTAAGCAGACCTTTTCATGTGCTAACAAAGACCTGGTATATCTACAGATTAAATATAATAACATTTTTATCAGTTTATATTATTATTTTATTATAAATGTTATATTTTTAATGTAGATAAAAGTTGGTGGGTTTTTGTTTGTGTGGTTTTTGTGGGTTATTTTGGGTTGGTTTGTTTTTGGTTTTTTTTTTTTTTTGAGGGGAAAGTGGGGTTTTTTTGTGAGTTTTTGTGGAGTTTTTCAGATTACGATGAAGTCAGTCATTTTATTTACAAAGCTGACCAAGCTAAGGGAGCATTATACAAGAAAAAAAACCTCAAGAACAAAACAACTAAAACCCCCGAACAATTGTTCTCACAGATGTACAAAGAAAAAGCGTAAGAGGTAAAAGTCACAATTTGCAGCAAAGGAAATTCCAACTGAGCTTAACAATCAGAAAGAACTTCACATGGTTAAGCATTAAGAGCTGCCCAGAGAGCAGGTAGCATCTCCATCCTTGGAGATATTCCAAACATGAATGGACAAAGCCCTCAGCAGCTTGAGAGCTTTCACCACTTTCAGCAGTGGTTGAATTACGTAACCTCACGAGTTCAACACAATCATTACATGATCTATTCTAGTAAAAATTTCTGACAAACCCCATTTGACTCCTCTGAGTGCAGGAATCATATTAATGTGTCTGAATGAAACAGTCATACACAATGACATTAGAATAATCCTCAGGAACTCCTCTACTGACTTGTAAAATACTCAGTTTGGGACAGGAGTGTTTTTTTGGCAAGTGGTATGGAAAGACCCCAGACTCTCCTCAGATACAAAATACATCAATGTAGATCATCTACAAATAAGGATTTCCATGGTTACTAATAACATAAATACGACCCTGTGTCAACATATGATAATACTCTTCCCATTAAAAATTAGCTGATTTCTTTCAATTTAAAAGGCATCTTGTAAYAACGAATTCTAGCTAAACCCTGCCAGAATACAGCTTTTCTTATTCCATGTGCATTCAACTTTGCACAGCATTTCACAGGTTGGCTGTAGTGAATATGAGTAACAGAGGCTGAATCCATCAATAACCAAATACTGAAACTGGAAAGCCTCATGCTTCCMTCACAGTCAGAAACTGTGCCCCTAACTGTTGAAAAGTTTAAACTGCTACATCTCACAATGCATAAGTTACAATTTACCAGTTGTGATACTTTGTCATAGCTTCAAGTGYAATAGATTTGTTGAAATTTCAATTAAAGCACACATATGTGTGGCTTATCAAAGTTGTGCTGCCTTTCTTTTATCTTTAAAGAAAGGTCTTTACTCACTTTGGTATGAGTGCTTACCCTCAGCTGGACTCTTCATATTTCAAGAAGAGATTTTTTTTAGGGATATCCATAGTGTCCTTTGCATTCTTCTGTTCTATTTATCAGCCTTTTTAGTTAAGCTACTTGCTCTTTTTAACTTTAATAATGAAGTTTTTTTTGTCATGCTGAAAAATACTCATATTTATTTTGTGATGCAAACTTCTCACTGTTCTAAGAGTCACAACATCACAAGCATATGATCTGTCATAATAAAGATCCTAAGGAATTACTTGATAACTATCTTCTAAATATCTGGGTCAGCTTTCCAGAGTATGAAAAACAAATAAGAAACATTTAAATAATRTATTTTCTACATACAAGTACATCTTAGTTTCAAAAGGAAGACTCTTAGTAATTCACTTTATGCTTTGAAAAAGATTGAAAAAAGGATAAAAATAGTTAATTATTAGGTTTAAAAAAAAACAAAACAAAACAAAAAACAACCCGAACAAGTTTGGACTTTAATACCATACAGCAATGATAGAATAGGCACTGGCCAAACTGCAATATTAAGACAGAAATTTCCTTAGGTTAAAAAAACTCCAAAACAACRCCTAGATTTTATTTATAGATCTGTTCCCTAGAGGTTTGCTAAAATAACCTTCTTCTGTGTCCTTATTAGTGTCTGAGTTAAAAAGAAAAA